ATTCTGAAACAAAACCTCTCCAGATGCAACCAACTCTCTAATCTTGTGAAAACGTACATCAATGTGCTTAGTTCTAGCACGATATACATGATTCTTAGCCAAGTGAATAGCACTTTGATTGTCGCAAAGCAACTGAACTCCACCTTGTTGAACACCCAACTCCTTCACTAAACCAGTGAGCCATAAAGCTTCTTTTGCAGCTTCAGTCGCTACCATGTATTCAGCTTCAGTTGTAGATAGTGCCACAACATATTGAACAATAGACTTCCAACAAATATGTCCTCCACCAAGAGTAAAAACATACCATATCGTAGATATTCTATTATCCAAGTCACATGCATAGTCTGAATCCACATATCCTACAACCAAAGGATTATCCCGCTGACTACCAAAAAACAATACCATGTCCTATAGTACCCTTTAAGTATCGAAAGATCCACTTGACTGCTTCCCAATGTTGCTTACCAGGTTTAGACATGTACTTATAAACTTGACTAACAACATGAGCTAAATCAGGACGAGTACATACCATAGCATACATCAAGAAGCCAACAGCATTAGAATACGGAACCTTTGCCATATCTTCAGCTTCCTTATATGTCTTCGGACATTGTTCTAATGAGAGCTTAAAGTGATTCGCCAATGGAGTGCTAACTGGTTTTGCGTTGCTCATCGCAAACCTTTCTAGCATTTTCTCAACATAACCCCATTGAGATAGCCACAGTTTCCTTGAGTCTCTTTCCCTGCAAATTTCCATTCCAAGAATTTTCTTTGCAGCACCTAAATCTTTCATATCAAATTCCTGACTCAATAAGGTTTTCAAACCGATAACATCATCCATGTTCTTCGCAGTAATCAACATATCATCAACATACAGTAACAGAATAATAAAAGAACCATCATCAAGGCTCTTAAAATAGACACAACAATGATACTCACATCGGTTGTAGCCAATCGTGATCATATAGGAGTCAAATCATTTATACCACTGTCTAGAAGACTGTTTCAACCCGTACAAAGATTTTTTCAATCTGCAAACTAAATGCTCGTTTCCAGGTTGAGTGAAAACTTCAGGCTGCCGCATGTAGATCTGCTCCTCTAAATCACCATGCAAAAAAGTAGTTTTAACATCCATCTGCTCTAAATGTAAATCCCAACTAGCCACCAATGCAAGTACTGCTCGGATTGAAGTGTGCCTGACCACATGAGAAAAAATTTCATTATAATCAACTCCTTTCTGCTGTTAAAAACCCTTTGCTACCAAGCGAGCCTTGAACTTCTCCCCCTCTTTTTTTGTTACTGCTGGTTTCTTCTTATACACCCATTTTCAACCAATAGGCTTCTTACCTTCAGGAAGGGGAACTAACTCCCATGTACGATTGTGATTCAAAGACTCTATCTCCTCAACCATGACAACCATCCACTTGTTGTTTTCCTGACTAGTAACTGCATCATGATAAGTAACTGGATCATCACTGCTAGCAGTAAGTGCAAAAGAGACCAAGTCTTCAAAACCCAATCTGTTCGGAGGCTTTATATTCGTCTGTCTCACCCTATCTCTGGCGAGACTATAATCCTGCAAATCATCTGTAACGGAACCACCAGAAGTCGGTTGAGAAGTTTATGTTTTCTCAACTGGAAACTGCTCGAAATCCACCACTGTTGTTCCTGTCTTCTGCTGCAACATGGATTGTTCATCAAAAACAGTATCTCTACTAATCACAATTTTATTCGCAACTGGATCCTATAACTTGAATCCTTTGACACCTTTCTTGTAACCCAGAATAATGCACTCCTTCAATTTTGCATCAAGTTTGGATCTCTCATCAGCATGTACATGCACAGAAGCAGGACAACCAAAAATCCATAAGTGATCAAAACTAACTTCATGACCAGTCCATACCTCTTCTACAACTTTCCCAGCCAATGATGCCCTTGGCGATCTATTGATAAGATAACACGCCATGTTAACAGCCTCAGCCCAGAAGTGTTTGGGAAGCTCCGCATTCAACTGCAAACATCTGTCTCTTTCATTCAACGATATGTTCATCCGTTCTGCAATACTATTTTGTTGTGGTGTCATGTGCACTGTAAAATGCCTCTTAATCCCGTGCTCCTTACAGAAGTTTAGAAACTGTGTAATTGTGTACTCCGTACCATTTTCAGACCGTAAACACTTGATTTTTCATTCTGTTTGGTTTTCTACCTCAGCTTTCCACAGCTTGAACTTCTCAAAAATGTCGGACTTGTGTTTCAAAAAATACACCCAAACTTTCCATAAAAAATCGTCAATGAAAGTAACATAATACCTAGATCCACCCAAAGACGATGTCGTGGAAGGCCCCCATACATCAGAGTGCACATAATCAAGAATCCCTTCAGTTATGTGCTTCGCAGTCTTGAAACAAACTTTAGTCTGTTTACCAAGAACACAATACTTGCAAAAATCGAGCTTACAGCTTTTAACACCATGCAACAAATTTCTTTTATGTAATTCAACCATACCATGTTCACTAAGATGAGCAAGACGCATATGCCACAGTTTGGTTGTATCATCACATGACTCAACTAAATGAACTCCACCTACAACGGTACTCCCTAATAATATGTAAATATTCCCTGCAGTCATCTTGCCTTTCATCACAGTCAAAGCACCTTTAACAATCCGAATGGTTTCCCTATCCTCATCAGCCTTAGGGATAAAACCATTCTTGTGCAAAGTGCCCAAACAAATCAAATTCTTCTTCAAATCTGGGATATGCCGAACACCACTCAACGTCCGAACAGAGTCATCATACATCTTAATTATGACCTCACCAATACCAACAATATTACAACATCGATCATCACCCAAATAAACAGAACCAGAATTAACCGACCTGTATGTTGAAAACCATTCCCTATTTGGTGTGATGTGATAAGAACATCCTGAATCAAGAATCCAAACATCCGTCAATTGAGTCATTGAAATAGAAAGCATATCACCCTCACTGAAATCATAATTTTTATCCTCGACCACATTCACAGACTTGGATAAATCATCACACTTCTTATCAGTCTTCTTTTTCAACTTCGGACAGTCTCGCTTCATATGTCCTACCTCCTTGCACTTGTAACAGTGAATTGTCTTCTTATCTCTAGATTTGGATCTGGAATTCCGCTTTCCAGACCCTGCATTCTCTGTCTTCGGTCTACGGTCTCGATTACCCTTTACATATAAGCTATCAGCTTGAGAGCTTTCCCATGCATTCTGCTTCTGCTGGTTGTGAGCCAACAAGGCTGCAACAATCTCCTCGACGTTGATAGTCTCTTTCCCATATGTAAGAGTAGTCACCATGTGTTCGTAAGAGGGAGGCAACGAACACAATAGAATTATCGCTCTGTCTTCATCCTGAATTTTCACATCAAGCCGAGCCAAATCAGAAACGATTTGATTGAAGACATTCACGTGTTGCGCCAAATCATGATCGTCCTGCATTTTTAGCCCATACAGTCGCTGCTTTAGATACAGTTTTATCGTTAAGGATTTGGACATAAACAGACTTTCCAACTTCCTCCAAATTGCGTCTAGAGACGATAGATGCATGATGTGATACATGACCTCATCCACCAAGCATAATCGTATAGTTCCTGCCGCTCGCTGTTGTAATTCTTCCCAATCTTCCTCCTCCATCGACGCCGGCTTTGTAGGTCGCAAAGCTTTCAGGATCCCCTGCTGCGCCAACAGATCCTTCACCCTCGTTTGCCATAATTCGAAGTTACCCTGACCATCGAATTTTGCAACTTCGAATTTTGCTCCTGACATCTTATACCAATTGTTGAAGAATCGGGAAAAGTAAACGAAAGAACACAAGAATTTTAACGAGGTTCGGCAATGTGCTTACGTCCTCGGTGCCTAGGCGGCGCTAGAAATTTTATTCAATGTCTCATAGGTTTAGGTTACATCTCTATTTATAATAGAAAACCCTGGTACATAATTAGAAAATTAACCATGTACAACTATCCTCTTTACCGGTATATTTATGAGCCATACCTTACAACTGGTATAAAGAAAATAATTGTTTTTATTGTTCATAGACACTGAATACACACAGAATCCTCAAGCCCTCTACACAAATCCTTCAGCTTATAACTGATAAGCTTTCAATAACAAAGATACGGTTCGATTGCTATCTTTCTCAAACGAAACGACTGATGCCTTCTTCCACAGTAGTGTATTTCACTGCAGGGTATAGCTCAGAAGCTTCGAACCCGAATGATGATTTGATCTCGAAGACGGTGTAGTCACCATCGACAAAGTTTGAGTGACAGATGGCCAAGACAATGTTGAGTGGACATGGAGCCTCTACAAGAATTTTTCAAATACTTAAAATTCACAAGATAACACTTAATTTGTCTAATATTTAAATTTATAATGACCTAAATTGTTATTAGAGTAAAAAATTTGAAAACACGAGATTATCCTTATTTAATTCGACCCTTACATGATTAAATATTTAATAATTTATTATATTTTTAATTTAAATATTTATTTATACATAAACAAAATAATAATAAACCAAAATTATATGAAATATATAAATTTTAATAGGGGTCGGGGCCCTTTGGACCCTCACTGAGCTCCTTCCCCAGATAAAACAATGGCAAATAAATCAATTTAATATACCATCAATCTTCGTGTTGACATAATGAATGTTAATTGTCGAACAATTTGTTATAAAACAATAATTTTAGTGATCGTTTTACTACTTTTAAAACTTCAATGCTAAAAAGAATATTATTCATACTTCAATGACCATTATTAGTTTACCCTAAATTTTTTTAAAGTAAAAATCCTAATATTTTTCTTAAACTCTTAACTTTTTTTCTGTTAACAAATAAAAACACAGAGATCAAAAATTAGTGCAACAATAATTCTTATATATATTCAAATACTTTTCTTCTCTTTCCTCTCTTTTTCTTTATTTCTTCCCAAAATCAACAACAAAAAAGACACAACAAGAACAACATTGTTCGCATTTTGTTTAATGATAGTAATGATAAACTTATGAACACACGCACACACCAACAGAGAATCTGCAAGCCCTTCGGACAAATCCTTCCGTGACAGTTTATGAATTATTAGTTCATTGACAAGGTCCGATTTGATTTCTACCTTTTATCAAACAAAACGACTGAGAGTTTCTTCCACCGTGGTGTGTTTCACTCCAGGGTACAACTCAGAAGCTTCGAATCCGATCGATGGTTTGATTTCGAAGTTAGTACCATCACTGTTGACAAAGATGGAGTGACTGACGGCCAACAGAATATTGATTGGAATTGGAGACTCTGCAAGAGTTTGATGAAATGCATGAATCAATAACAAATTAAGTACAAAACTTGCATGAATAAATTTAAATAAGAGCAAGGGATTTTAATATTTTATCAACCTTGGATCTGTTTCAGAAGTTGTTTCTCTGGAACATATGTTTTCTCAAGGATTTTGCCTATCAGTTTCTCCCACAGGGTGACGAGCTCGTTGAATGAGTAGGTGTTTTTGGGAGGCCTGATGAACAGGGTCTTGTTCAACGTTCTCGGTGTTGGATCATAAACTTGATCCATTATGGGAGCCTAAACCCAAACCCAAACTAAATTGATGTCATTACTTACATCATTTAATTAAAGATGTCATTGCTTACCTCATTTAAGTAATGATGTCATTGCTTACATCAATTTAGTTAGGTGAGAGTTAGATATTTGTTGAAATTGTAATGGTTTAAATTAGTTTATTTGTGTGGTGTAGGATTGTTCTTGAGTAGTATAAATACCCCTTCCCATTTTAGTTTTAAGCATCAAGAAAAATTAAGAGCTTCTAAGTGAGTGAAGAAGCAAAGTCCTATAAGAGTAAGTTGTAGTTCTTGTTTTTGAGTGAGAGTGCTCTTGTAATATTTATTTGAGTTTCAATAAAAGTTTTTTGTGTGAGTGTTTTATTTCCAACAAAGTGGTATCAGAGGTAGTTGGAAAGATCGAAGGTCTCGACGAGAGGAATCCGACGCCGCCAGAATTTTCTCAAGCTGAGTTCTGACGCACCGCCACGCACCGCCGGAAGGCTGCTGCCAGAAAATCGAGTTGACTCGCCGAGTCAGCCGAGTTGGAGCCCTTGACCGAGTTGTCCAAGTCCCTCCCAAAGTTTTTTTCGGCGTTCCGAATTCATTCGTGCAATCGGATTTTACAAAATCTCATTATATTGAGAGATATGGCAAATGGTATAGCACCATTCCAAGTTCCGACACTCAACAACAACTACTACGATAATTGGAGTATCAAAATGAAGGCACTTCTTGGATCACAAGATGTGTGAGATATCATAGAGAAAGGCTATAACGAGCCTGCGGATGATGATGCTTTTGCTACTCTTACACCAGATCAAAAGATAACTTTGAAGGATTCAAGAAAGAGAGACAAGAAGGCTCTCTACCTCATCTATCAAGCATTAGATGATGATGGTTTTGAAAAGATTTCAAGTGCAAGCTCTAGCAAGGAAGCGTGGGAGAAGCTGCAAACCTCTTACAAAGGATCCGAGCAAGTGAAAAAGGTTCGTCTCCAAACATTAAGAGGTGAATTCGAATCCTTAAACATGAAAGCATCTGAGTCTATTTCATATTATTTCTCAACAGTAGTAGTTGTTTCTAATCAATTAAAAAGAAATGGTGAAAAGTTAGACGATGTGAGGATAATAGAGAAGATACTCCGTTCGTTGGATCCCAAATTTGAGCACATCGTTGTGACGATTGAAGAAACTAAAGACTTGGAAGAAATGACAATCGAGCAACTCCAAGGATCATTGCAAGCATACGAAGAGAAGCATAAGAAGAAGCATGAGTTTACTGAGCAAATCCTCAAGCTGCAACTCAAAGATATGCATGAAAGCCAACGTAATAATAGAAACCAACGTGGCCAAGGCAGAGATAGAGGCCATGGACGAGGTGGAAGTCGAGGTCGTGGACGAGGCTGGAATTACAACAACAACAATTCCAACAACAACTATGAGAAAGGAGAAAGATCAACACGAGGCCGTGGAAGAATCAATCCGAACTCAAGGCATGACAAATCTCAAGTTTGATGTTATAATTGTCAAAAGTTTGGGCATTATGCTTCAGAATGTAGAGCTCCCAACAACAAAATTGAGGAGAAGGCTAACTACGTGGAGGAAAAGACAGATGGCAAAGAAACTCTTCTTCTAGCACGAAAGGAAACTGATGGTGGCCAAGCAAATTCTTGGTATCTTGACAGTGGTGCAAGCAATCACATGTGTGGAAAGAAAGACATGTTCGTAGAGCTAGACGAGTCAATAAGCGGAAATGTTTCGTTTGGAGATGATTCCACAATAGCAGTGAAAGGGAGAGGTAACATTCTTATCCGTTTGAAAGATGGGAGGCATCAATTTATTTCAAATGTCTACTATGTGCCCAATATGAAAAGTAACATCTTAAGTTTAGGGCAACTGGTAGAGAAAGGTTATGATATTCACATGAATAATTATAATCTTTCTATAAAAGATGATAAGAATAACTTCATTGCTAAAGTGCCGATGTCAAAGAATAGAATGTTCTTGATCAACATACAAAATGATGTTGCAAAGTGCCTGAAATCTTGCTACAAAGATGCATCATGGCTTTGGCATCTTCGATTTGAGCATCTCAATTTTGGAGGTCTAGAGCTGCTATCTAAGAAGGAGATGGTGAAGGGACTACCTCGCATCAACCATCCTGACCAGCTTTGTGAAGGGTGTCTAGCTGGGAAACAATTCAGGAAAAGCTTTCCAAAGGAGTAAGAGACAAGAGCCAAGAAGCCACTCGAGCTCATCCATACCGATGTGTGTGTGGACCGATCAAGCCGAGCTCTCTCGGTAACAGTAACTATTTTCTTCTCTTCATTGATGATTTTTCAAGAAAAACCTGGGTATATTTCTTGAAACAGAAGTCAGAAGTTTTTTGAAGTCTTTAAGAAGTTCAAAGCAGCAGTGGAGAGAGAAAGCAATAGAAAGATCAAAGCCATGAGATCTGATCGAGGTGGAGAATTTACTTCCAGGGAGTTTCAAGAGTTCTGTGAAGCAAATGGAATTCGTCGACCAATGACAGTTCCTAGATCCCCCCAGCAAAATGGTGTGGCAGAAAGAAAGAACAGAACAATCCTCGACATGGCACGAAGCATGCTCAAAAGCAAGAAACTACCTAAGGAATTTTGGGCGGAGGCAGTAGCGTGTGCAGTCTACTTGACAAACCGATCTCCAACAAGAAGTGTATGGGGGAAAGACACCGCAAGAAGCATGGAGTGGAAGAAAGCCTGGCATTTCCCATTTGAGAACCTTTGGAAGTATAGCCCATGTTCACGTACTAGACGAGAGAAGAACGAAGCTTGATGATAAAAGCGAGAGTTTTATCTTCATCGGCTATGATGCTAATTCGAAGGGCTACAAGTTGTACAATCCAAACAATAAGAAGTTTGTGATTAGTCGAGATATGGTCTTCAACGAAGAAGGAGAATGGGATTTTAACTCTCATACAGATGACTTCAATTTCTTTCCTCAGTTTGAAGAAGATGAGCAGACAATGAGGGAACAACTAGATGAATCTCAACAAGAGCTTGCAACTCCACCCACTTCACCAACATCAACCACTCAAGGAGACTCATCACCTTCGTCATCGTCAAGTGGGAGTCAAAGTGAAAGAGTTGTGCAACGCACAAGAAGCCTTAGAGATCTCTATGAGGTAACTGAACGAAAAGATAATCTTACATTATTTTGTTTGTTTGCCGATTGTGAACCAGTGAGCTTTCAAGAAGCGGTACAAGAAAGGAAATAGAGAGATGCGATGAACGAAGAAATCAAGGCCATCGAGAAGAATGACACATGGGAACTTACCTCACTTCCCAAGGGACATAAGGCGATAGGTGTCAAATGGTGTACAAAACAAAGCAAAACGCCAAAGGAGAGATTGAAAGGCACAAGGCGAGGCTAGTTGCTAAAGGCTATAGTCAAAAGGCTGGAATTGACTATGATGAGGTATTTTCTCCTGTTGCTCGATTGGAGACTATCAGACTAATCATTTCTTTGGCAGCTCAAAACAAGTGGAAGATACAACAGATGGATGTAAAGTCCGCCTTCCTAAATGGAGTTCTTGAAGAGGAACTTTACATTCAGCAACCATCAGGCTATGAAGTCAAAGGGCATGAAGACAAGGTGTTGAAGTTGAAGAAGGCTCTTTACGGGCTAAAACAAGCACCAAGGGCATGGAATAGTCGAATCGACAAGTATTTCCAAGAGAATGGCTTCAACAAATGTCCCTACGAGCATGCTCTATATCAAGATCAAAGATGAAGATATTTTGATCGTGTGTCTCTATGTGGATTTGATCTTCACTGGAAGCAACCCAAGCATGTTTAATGAATTCAAGGATGTGATGATGAAAGAATTCGAGATGACAGACATGGGCTCATGGCGTACTACCTTGGCATTGAAGTTAAGCAACAAAATGATGGAATTTTCATTTCACGGGAAAGCTATGCAAAGGAGATACTGAAGAAGTTCAAGATGGAGAATTGTAAGCCAATAAGCACACCGGCAGAATACGGGATCAAGATGACCAAACATGAAGAAGGCGAAAGTGTAGATCCAACATTCTTCAAAAGTTTGGTAGGAAGTCTATGCTATCTAACTTGCACGAGACCGATATTCTTCACGCAGTTGGATTGGTTAGTCGCTACATGGAATCTCCAACAACCACCCATTTTAAAGCCGCAAAGAATTCTTCGCTATCTGAAAGGTACAATTGACTTTGGCTTGTTCTATTCAGTTCTAATGATTACAAGCTTGTTGGATATAGCGACAGTGATTGGGGTGGAGACATAGATAATCGAAGGAGCACTACTGGATTCGTATTTTTCATTGGAGATATTGCGTTCACATGGATGTCAAAGAAACAACCGATTGTCACATTGTCCACTTGTGAAGCGGAATATGTTGCTGCTACCTCATGTGTTTGTCGTGCAATTTTGGCTTAGAAATCTATTGAAGGAGATTGGTTTGATACAAGAAGAGCCTACCAAGGTTTGTGTCGACAACAAGTCAGCCATTGCCTTAGCGAAGAATCCAGTATTCCATGATCGAAGCAAGCACATTGATATTCGCTACCACTATATAAGGGAGTGTGTTGCAAGAAAAGATGTGGAAGTTGAATACGTGAAGTCACAAGATCAAGTTGCTGATATTTTTACCAAGCCACTGACCAGCGAAGACTTCTTAAGATTAAGGAACCTACTAGGGGTCACGAGATCAAGTTTAAGGAGGGGTGTTGGATCATAAACTTGATCCATTATGGGAGCCTAAACCCAAACCCAAACTAAATTGATGTCATTACTTACATCATTTAATTAAAGATGTCATTGCTTACCTCATTTAAGTAATGATGTCATTGCTTACATCAATTTAGTTAGGTGAGAGTTAGATATTTGTTGAAATTGTAATGGTTTAAATTAGTTTATTTGTGTGGTGTAGGATTGTTCTTGAGTAGTATAAATACCCCTTTCCATTTTAGTTTTAAGCATCAAGAAAAATTAAGAGCTTTTAAGTGAGTGAAGAAGTAAAGTCCTATAAGAGTAAGTTGTAGTTCTTGTTTTTAAGTGAGAGTGCTCTTGTAATATTTATTTGAGTTTCAATAAAAGTTTTTTGTGTGAGTGTTTTATTTCCAACACTCGGGGTCATCGACGGTTTTGATGGTGTAGGTTCCTATATCAGCTTCGTGGTTGAAAACAGCTGCAAAAAGAATTGGATGCAAATGATGATTACAGATGAATGCTTTTTTTAATCTCTTAGTTAACTTTGTGAACATAAATGCTTAGTTTACCTTTAGGATTTCCATCGCCTAGGATAACGACCGTGTCTCTTGGAGGAGATGTGACTCCTGGCTGGGATAAAGTAGGAAGAAAATAGCCTGCAAAGCAGTTAGCAGGCACATAAGTGTATGGGATCCCTTCAGCCTCAATGGCACGACGGATTTGCGCCTTGATTCCGAATGCTGATTTCGCCGGCTCAATCGCCGTATTCAGGTCCGCATCCGTTCCAAATTCAGATGGCAAGAATCTCTAATCAAATTTTTTTTATAAAAAAAATCAATTAGAATATAATGAAGAAATTGAGAAAATGCTAGCTACCAGCAAAGTTCCTGCAAATATCTTTGGTCCACCGTTGCCAAGATGTGTTCAACTCTCATATCAGTATAAAAGTAAAGCAAATTGTGTGAAATGAAACTGAGAAACACCAACCTTGACATTCTCAGCTTCTTTAATGGCAGCAATGATCTTAACTTGATCTGCAATCTGCATTTGACCCACGGCCGAAATCACCACATCGACTTGCTTTATTGCCTTGACCAAACTCTCATGATCATAAAGGTCTCCCTGCAATAAATGCTCACAGAATCATAATAAACAAAGTTTTCACAGCCATGAATAATGTACGTGAAGATCTGGATCAAAGACTACTTACCACCAACAACCGGACCCCTAAGTTCTTGAAGTTGTCGATGATATTTTCTTTAACAGGGTCGGAGAGGGTGGTTTCTCTGACTAAAGCAAAAGTGGGGTGACCCTCTTTTGCACTGGCTTCGACGATGAACTTTCCGATGTATCCGGTTCCTCCGATGACCAAAACCTTACTCTTCTCGGCCATTGATGACTTTCTTCAGCTTCGGGAACGAGAACAATGTCGGTACAAAAAGGAAAAAAGGTTTTGGAGTTTATTGTAATGAAATTTGACAAGCAAATGATGCACTATTTATAGTTGAAGTGAGAGGAGCCTTGTTGGTGAGATTTCAGTCCATGCAACCAGAAAACATAAATCGGTAGTTAGATCATGGCTAGATCTATTTTAAAACACATACTGTTATTAAAAATAATAATATTCAGAAGCAAAAATATATTAGAATTTATCGCATTTTAAACATATTGTTATTTGTAATAATCTTCCTTTAAAATAACAGTATTAATAGCAACTGTCTTATATATGATATAAATTTCTACAATTTTAAACATTTTTAGAAGAAAAAAATAATTATGTGTGCAAATGGATGAAATTCATATAATTTCTATCCAAGATTTTGTTTTTATCAATTTAACTCTATAAATCCAATAAATAATCAGTTAAATCTTTAAATTGATTTAAAATCAAACTAATTTTAAGGTTTATTTTTTAAAAAAACGAAAATTAAAGGAATGGTTGTAAATGTTTAATTTAAAATCTTTAATCAAAATGTATTTATGGCTGCAAGAAACAATCCAAATATTTTAATAGAGGGGAGAAATCGGTTGGATGGTCATTGAAAAATCTTGGTATGGGAGCAACTAATAAGTTGAGCAGTCATTATTATTCAAACATCATCGTGACCGATAAGTCTCCACTCTCAACGGGGCTGGGTTAGGTAAACCACAATTTGACATCTGTCAGTTTTGATCAAAATTTTAAAATGGGTAAACTATTTGAATAATCACTTGATTATTGTGGGTATTCTAATTTAATAATTGATTTAATAATTTCATCAAAAAGGTAATTTAAATATTTAAATGATATTAATCAAATCATTTGTTGTTAACAATTAACGGAAATACTATTATGGTATCTAAATAAGTTTAATGATTTAATTGATGATTTTTTTGTTCAATGATCAAAATATAATCAACCTAATAATTTAGTGACCTCTAAGATAATTAACCCAAAATATATGGAAAAAAAAGGAAGAGGAAGGGATTGATTCGAAAGACAATAATGAACTAGTCTACTAGAAACAAACGAATGTGGTCAAGATTAGAATGAGGTTAGGATCAAAATATTTAAAGAAATTAAATTATTTTATATAAAAAATAAAAAAGTATTAAATATTTAAATTTAAAAGTTAATAAAAATAAATATTTTATCTTAAAAATATTTAAATGAAAAAGGACTTGCAATAAAAAAATTTATGGCCCACAGTTCCTCCCACTTTTTAACGACTTCTAATAGGAGTACAAATTTTCGGATAAAAAATATTATTCGATCCTAAATTTTAAAATTTTAGATCAATAAATTTATGGCCCATATTTGATTTCAAAAATTGAATATTTAAATTTTTAGATTGATCTACAAATATGAACATAAAACTTAACTTAACAAAACTTTTAGATTTAAACAATGACTTTTGTACATATATTATATTATATATTTAATTATTCACCCACAATAAATAATTACATATCTTGTACACAAAAAAAGATTTTAGTGATTAAGAGATTTGTTTATTCCATAATGTCCCAAGTTCGAGAATCATATATATATAGGCATGAGCGTTCAATGTCAAAAAATTAAAATTTTTTGAATATATATTATATTGTATTTATCTAAGATTAATAAATAATAATAATTAAACATCTTAATTTTTATTCGGTTAGAGACTTAGTGGGTTGCTTACTTGTTGAGCTAGAATGTGCCTAAACTCTAAGACCTACTTTTTATCAAATTTTTAGTAATCTAAAACTAGAATTTAACTGATTTATATGCAATCCAATTATCTTTTATTCTTTAAATATCTAATATGAATTATTTAAAATAAAAAATAAATTGAAAATTGAATTTTTAAATCAGATCAATGATAATAAGTTAGATTGACCAGGTCAGATTTTTTTTATACACTCCTGTTGGTCAAGATATTGTTCAAGAGTTGAATTCTTTTATTGATATTTGTTTTGGAACAACTGTTAGAACACAAGGTTCTTAACCTTGAGGTCGTGGGATCGAATCTCACGGAGGACATTTCATAATTCGGAGGTCTTCTACGGAAGCTGCTCTCAACCTGGTGTTGGGGCCAGCCTACTATCTTACCTCCTCCTTACCCATTATATATAGGAACAAGGGACATCCATTTTTTTTTGGAACAACTGTTACTGATATTTTGCCAACACTCGGAAAGGACTATGATCGATTAAGATGAAGACACAGGTGTTGGGCCAAAGATTTTGAGAGTCCAACTGAATGGATACTTTTGGGTTATTGAAGTTTTTTTTTAATCTCTTTATTTGTTTTTCTCTTTATATTTGTAAATTTTGATTATGTATTTTAATGTTTAAATATGAGTTCTCTCTAATACTTTTAGATACGGTCGAGCTTACAAACTTTAAATTATTGCAACGATGTTAGTATCAATTAAATTAAAATTTAATTGGATTATTAGATAAAATTTTAACACTTATTGAATGTACACTTTCAGTTATTAAAATTACTTAGACGAGGAGTAATTGGATGAAAATGTAAGTTTTGACATGGATTAGGCTTGGTTAAACCCCAAGTTGTAGATGAAGTTAGGTAGGAGAGAAGAAGATATTTCATATTTCCATCATACTCATTCGTGAGTTTTTATCGAAAACACTAGAAAAAGGTTGTCCGACTTGTTGTAATAATTGCACTCTTGTCCATTCATGTAGTCTAAGTAGCTTAGCTTAGAAAGAGACATGAATTTCGGTTGCCATGGCTTAGTCCACAGGGCAGTGATAATGATTGCCCACGGCGATTTAACTCGTCTTGGATGCCAAGATTGTAGCACGGCTTGCATTGCAAGTCCAAGCATGGGCAATGACCCTACACTTGGATGCGTTGAGATGAGCCCAAATTAGATACTTTCCGACTAAAAAAGTTAACCAAGTGGTTTACAGATTCAGCATGGGTCCGTCCTACCACTCATTGGGGATACTGATATCTTCCGAAATGACATCTGGATATTTTTCAAAATGATAACAAATGACATAAGTAATTTATTTTATCTAATTTAAATAGACACTTGATAATTAAACTATTAATAATCGGTGTTCAAAATTTTCATTCCCACGAGAAAGGAGATGGGAAAAGCAGGGACAATGGTTCTAAATCTTTTTCTAGGTCTTAATTAAGAAGTTTATATTAAGTATTGGTGTTATACAAAGAATTATGATAATTACTCATAGATTGACATATGTAATAAATGTAGTCGGTTGTCAACTAATTTCAGTTTTAACAAAAACACATGATTTGTTAAAAATATGTCACGAGGTCACGATTTTTTAAGATATGCAAAATTTTTGAAATCACATATTCAAAGATATTCCCTCGAAATTTTAACTACATAAGAATCCTTTAAAGATTTTGACGTACCACAAATTATTTTACAAAAAAAAATATTACAACAATATTGAATTAGTGTCTCTTGTTCTTTCTCAATATACAAGTATTTTGATTCAGATTAAAGTATGAGAACGTTAAACAAATACCCTAATCCATTTCAACACTCATCTCACATCCAGGCAAAATAGCTTATATTATACATATAGATTCACCTCCCGTAACTATTAGTAGTTTAGGACTCTATGTACTTCATAGAGACATCAAAACCAGGTCACAAAAACCACACAAACCAGCTCATTATCATCGTGACATACCGTTTTTTATACACAGATTAAGCAGATAAATACACCCCCATAACGGATAAGATACCATTAGTAGCTAAAGACTAAGTGGCACTGATGTCAGAATCTTTGTTAGGCTTCGAAGCAGCAAGGTTGGCGATGTGGAACTGTGGCTTGTAACTGCTCGTCGGATGGTCGAGAACCGGAGGTTCATTCAAGAACGCCCAAGTGCTCCTCGTCCACCTACAATCATCCGTGGAAAAAATCTCATGTTTGATAAAGAAATTTCCAAGTTTTTTAAACTTATTTTTTAGTGGTATTGAATTAAGATTTTAGCTACTTACCAGCCATTTTTCTTTATTATATTTTCCAGGCTTATTTCCGAGTCCATGTCTAGGGAACCCTGGTTTGTATGGGGCAAGGGCATAGAGCTTGATCTCATATATTTCTTTCCATACTCCATTAATGGAGTTTCCTGCCATAGATAGAAAACGAAAAGGCTAATGTATTCGTATCAAATATATACTCACATCCGACACTCATATTCGAATCCAAGTAAATTGTACCTGCTGGTTATTGCAACTATCTGGTGAGCCATATATAGCCTTAAGATGTTCTTCCTCCGTTTTCTTCTTTGATTTCCAGTAAGCTTCAATCTTTTCCTTAGTAAGTGACTTGTTTCTTTTGAGTATAACTAATAAAAGAATGTTCCAAATGATCAGATATTAAACAACAAGGGTTTAAGTTAAAAAGAAAAAGAAAAGCAGATAAGATTTTTTCTGCAAAGAACCTGATGTAGGATCTGATACAGGAGAATCCCATCCTGCCATTAAAGAACCCATTTTTTGGCTGATGATCTTTCACTTGCTTGAACCAAAACTGAAAGTGAAGTATATTTAAGTAACAAATATCTTGAGCAAAATTAAGGGTTTTCTATATAGGTGAGTGCGACCTTATCTGAGTCCACCTTTTAACTCGTTCTTATCCTTAAAAAAATATATTTTTCCTCTAAAAATGGAGACAAAGGGGGCCAATTCATTGAGATCGAGACAAAAATGAAGTCTTTTTCACTGTGACAACCGATAAGCCTTCACCAAATCTTCTGAAATAATCTAGTCTTAGTTAAGGTGCCCACAGATTTCACACAGTGGCAAGACCACGCGTCTTGACCTTATTGGTCTGTTGATATTGCAACTCTGGTTTCTTAGCTGAGATGCATGCAGTCATTGGATAATGTATATCCGACCTCATGCTTAAGGACTAAGGTTGTTTTTGATGAGTATACATCCATGTGACATCTTCAAAGTTCAAATCATGGTTATTATAATAGGATCGGATCGATCAATTTAATCAGTTGAACCGTGAATCAGTGGTCTGTCTGGTTCGATTAACTTTCAAAACCAATTTTACAATGAACCGACTGAGAACCGGTAGAACTGGCTGAAAACCGACAAAACCGGTATGAACCGCCGGTTATGTTTTTTTCTTTTAAAAAAAATTAAACCAAAAGACATCGTTTGTTAAACGAGCCGAGTCGAACTCGAATATTGCTAAGCTCGACTCGAACTCGAAAACTTTAAAAGTAAACTCAACTCGACTCAAAAACTCACAAGCTAAAAATTATCAAGCTTAACTCGAACTCGAAATATAATATTGAAACTTGAACTCGAAAAGGCTCGAACTCAAAAAAATTAGAAGCTCGATTGAAGCCTGAAACTTGAGCTCGATTGAAGCGAAAGAATAGTTCGCTTTGTGCTCACCAAAAGGTTCCATGATTTTGAATGTCAAATTACCTCTATTATTTATAGAAGTCAGTTGGGATGCTCTTCTATATTTCTTAGTCATGTTGTATTATTTTGTTATCCTATTTTTACTCTTTAGAATTTTGAGATGCTCTTCTATGTTTCTTAATCATGTGAGATTGCTTTGTTCTCTTATTTTTGCTATTTTATGCTCTTTAGACGTTTTTCTGTAGTGCTGTATATATTAATATTGCTTTGAATATTATGTAAATTTTTTAAAAAATATTATTTTATATAATTCAGTTCAACCAGATTGAATCACAATTAAATCAGTGAACCAATACCGTCACCGATTTAAGATCCGGTTCTGTTTTAAAAACACTGGTTCAAACTACTATGTTCATCAGTATCTAAGCTTCCCGGTAAATTTGCTTGGGTAGGGTATTGCAAAAATTTTTTTTTTTTTTGGATAATCAATTTTATTTATCCAAAGAAAGCAGCTTACTGCTAGAAAGAAAACAATTACAACCAGTTATATAAGCCCCCAATTAACACACAGTTGCCTATTTACATTATCCACCCCATTCATTCTATGTCTATACAATTTAATTCTAACTGCCTCTTTAATGATATTTACAATTGTATCCGACGAACGCGACAGACCCCTGAAAGTACGATAAATAAATAATATTGCAAAAATATTTTTATATAAGGGGACGGTGTAGATTTTTTTTAATATGATAGTTTTATTAGTGTTTTCGGTTGGAGACGTATGAAAGATTCAGCATCTTCTCCAAATAAATAATAGGAACACGTATTTGTTCTTTTATGTATCGTCTGTCAAAAATCCCAGATGATCCTTCCATTTTCTTAAAACACTATAACATTCACCTTATTTTAAAAAATAAAATCAGTATAACTTAAAAAAATCATATTATTTAGGGCTGTAAATAAGACAAGACAGATCGCGAGCTACTCGAGATCGACTCGATCAAAGCTCGATAAATACTCGGGTCGAATGGACTCTACACGAGCTCTAGCTCGACTTGAGTTCTTAACGAGCCAAAACGAGCTACTTGATATTCGACTCGAAAAGCTCGTGAGCAGCTTGAAAATATAATATATTATGATTTTATTTTTTAAAATAAATTATTAATAATATTAATATTTATGTATTGATTTTTTTAAAATACAGTAAGATTTTCATGTATTTAAGGTTCAGATCGAGTTCGAGTTTAAGGCTTCAATCGAGTTAAGTTTAAGATTTTTTTTCATTTCGAGTCTTTTCGAGCTGCTCACGAGCTTTAGTTCAGTATTTCGAGTTCAAGTCGATCTTGAAAATTTTAAGCTCACGAGTTTTAGAGTCGAGTTGAGTTCCATTTCAGAGTTTTCGAGTCGAGTCGAGCTCAACAATACTCTAACTCGACTCGACTCGACTCGTTTACACCCCTAGTACTATCCAAGAAAAAAATTTCAATCTTCCCATGATTCCAAAAAGAAAAAAAAAAGCTAAGAAGTTTATATTTTCAATGTAGTCTAGTGCTGTCCAGGAATAGTTAAAAAAAGGTTTGATGTCATGCGAAGGAGTTTCTACATAAATCTTTCTAATCATGTAATGTGTTAATTTCCTAATGGTGTAATGGATGAGATTATCTAAAGATGTTTCCTGTTAAAAATTGTTATTGGCTGGCTCCTGTATGCGTGTAATGTGTTAATTAAGTATACGTGTAAGTTGATGTCAAATGATACAAGGTAAAATAAAGTTGACATAAGATTTATTGTGTAAGATAAAAGTAAAAGTTATCTTAAGGAAAGATTATTATTTGGCAACTACCAGTGAAATATATTTGGAAATATCCTTAATATGATCCGATGTCAACTTTATTTTACCTTGTATCATTTGACATCAACTTACACATATACTTAATTAAGGCATTATTTGATATTTTATCTTATATCACATTATTAACTATTATTAAGGGAACGATTCGACATCTTAAAATTAATAAATAGTATTTCATTTTGTCCCTTATTTATAATAAAATCTAAAACTTTATGCTCATTTTATAATATTTAAAAGTTCAATATATAAAAAGATAGTTTAATGAACAATTTTTTTCTTATATCACAAATAAGTATTTAAAATATATCCTTTTTTAATATTAAATTTACAATCTAAGAAATAAAGGAGGAGAATTTGACTACTAATAAGTGTTAAAACTACAACCTAAAAAAGATAGAAGGTGTACATTAATTTTTTTTTCTCTTTATTTTAACCATATGCTCTAGAGATTGTTGATAATTTAATGATTATTTTTTAAAAAAATTTAAAAATATTATTTTATAAATTTAATATGAAATTGAGGGTATAAAGTATTGATCCAGTGACAATGATATAAATATTGATATATTGAAAAATAAAAATTCAGCAATGTATCGAAGACGAATTAAAAACAAAATTGAAGTTAAAAGAGGAGTATGAAAACAAGATCAAAATTGAACTAAACAAAATTCATCGCTAATCCACCTAAATATTTACATTAATATAAACAAAATATTGAGCAAAAAAACAAGATCCAAAAGGAAAGTCAATGTAGCACATTTAATATAAACCTTGATAATTTCTTTCTTAGATACCTCAATGCCTTATAGGATGATCTTCTGAGTCCGGAGCTGTTGCTGGAGCTGGAGGAGACATTCGAGTTTCCTTCGCTCAAACTGCTGACAATGACTGAACACTGAGAAGCATCGTTTTTTATCACGAAATCGAAGAGATCGAGCAGTATCGATGCGTCCTCGGATCCTTTAGAACTTCCATTGACAGATATGTTAACCAAAGGTTGAATTATGTTTTCTGTCATTAACATTTGACAATACCCTGTGTTCTCGTAACATAGAAACAGGAGCAATTCAACAGCAAGCTCTTGCTCTTCGTTACTACCGGATTCCAAGATCATGGCGGTCGAAGAAAATAAACCGGCTTCAACGGCTTCTATTCTAGCCTCCCCGATGTTGCGTATGTTGTTTACGATCTCAATGCAGTACCCTGCAACATTTGGATCCTGAAGAAAAGATACCAACTTCGGAACATAACCCAAATATGTAACATGGTAACCAACATCGCTGCCATTCGACAAATTCCCTAGGATCTTCAGAGCAAGCAAGTTAAATTCCTTTACTGTAGTGTCAAGAAGTTTCAGGATGGACGGCAAAACTCCGGACGCCACGATTATCGACTTATAGTAGCTTTGCCGGGATAAGATTTCCAGTATGGCAAGGGACTCTCCAGTTGTTTCAGAATCCAGCAATGACGCCAACAGATAGATAACATCTTCATGACAGGGAGGTAATTCGATTCTGCAGGTAAGAACAGATACTTCAAGACAAATGAAGAATCAGAATGATAGAGATAAGGAATAGCAGAGAGAAATTTTACCTGCTTCCGCTCAAAATGGCCAAAAGAACCTCAGCTCCATCTTTTTGCATTGTTATATCACATATTTCATTTGCATCCTTCAAAAAGTTAATCACAGGAATAACATGACTATTTGAAAAGGTCAAATGTTGGGCCTTATCATTGTCTTCTAGTAGTCCTTTGACATTTTTAACTGCATTGCATTGAGATTTCCAAGAACGTTGATCAAGTTCATAAAGACATGCTGCATGAATACCATTACTTGAAGTCTTGGAAGAGTGATGCTGATGCATTTGACTATGGGAATCTGCAGCAACCTTAGGCGGCCTCGACGTAGTCTCATCATTGCATTTCCGGTCTGATGAATCTAAACTCGAATTAGTACTCACTGAGTCATGTGAGACATTCGCTAATTCGAGCTGCAAACCAAGCACCGAACTACCAAGGCTAGCAATGGAGCTGCGAGATTGATCCAAGGAAATCAGTGAAGGAACTGGTTTTGCATTTTCAGGAGCACTGATTCCATGCCTCAAAAGCCACTTTGAAATAAGGTCTTTCAATGCTGAATTTGGTGTTAGGGATAACTGCTCCAGCCTTATATTAGTCACAGGGCATGTCTGGTTACCATCATTAAACCACGTCTCGATCCAAACTCGTTCGAATGTTTCCCCAGAAGCAATAATTACAGGATCACACAGCAATCTCATAGAGAGTTGGCATATGAATTGCTTTGGAGGTGTGGGAATGAAGAAGTCATTACCTGAAGTTGCATCTCCTTCTTCTTCGGTCAATGAAGAAAGGCTCTCTTCCTCCATGTTTTTGGATTGGAGTTGCCAAATTAACTTCCCATGTTTCTTCAGAAGATACAAGAGATAATTCAAGATTTTCCTTTTGTTCGGATTTGTATCCTGGACTCTTCCAAGCAGTTTCTTGATGGATCTTTTCTCGATCAAAAGAGCAAAAGGAGAGGTAATGCTCAGTCTCAAAGCTGTAAGTCGAAGAGCTTCGATTTCAGATTGCATTTTGGAGGCTGATGAGCCATGTTGAAGAAGTGAAAGTATAATTGTTCCAGCTTCAAATTCAGAAGGCTCTAATGGAAACCTTGCATTTCTAAGTTCATCTATAATTCCGGCTATCTGTAAACACTAATTTCGTCTTTAATTGTGATCAAGGAAAGGGCTTAAAAACAGCAGGTAACATACATACACACACACACACATATCTTTCCTATGTTACTCTTGACTCTTACTAACATGACAATGGGGACATGAATCTCCAAGCATCCTTGAAAATTGAACATGTAACACATACCCATATCCAGCACACATCCAAGTTCGAATAACAAAATATATTTTCATCAGAGTAACAATAGCACCAAATAATGCATGGAATGACACAAGTAAACCAAGCACTTCATGCTTCTTCTGCCAGGAATTCCATAAAAAGGGAGAAAAAAATATAAAGTTCTATTACAAACCTTTTCAGCCAACAATGGTGGAACCATTTCTTGAAATTGATTCATGCTTGTCTCCAAAGTTTTCCGAATTTTTGCACACCTCACGAGTATAGCTTTTGCTTTAATTGCCTAAATATTTGATCAATACAATTGTTATACAAACAATGTCAACATCAGCCTGATAATTTATGTGAATATCTTACTGAATAAACAGGGCAGCCAGAAACAGGAGATGGCAATGTTAATTAGAAGTGCCAGGCTATTTGAAATGAAATGCTAACTCTGATTCTATTTTACTTCAAGTAATATTGGTTAACACATATTCAGACATGGGTACGGAAATATGAATCTTCAAGGGTTCTTCAAATACATAGGGAAAAAATTGAACAAGTACGTGTGTCAGAAACATACCTGTATCTGATTTTCACAGCTTAAAAAAAAAACTGATATGCTAACATGACAAGTTATTTTCATAATAAAACAACCTGGGACCATGATATCAGTGCCTAAATTTAGCATATGATCCTTTCATGTGCATATTGTATTTCTAATATAAACAAAAGGAGAAAAATTTAAGTACCAAGTAGAGTTTGCTGGATTCAGAACAGTGTTGGATTAGTAAATTGGCTTTATCCATTGCCGATTGCACTGAGCATAGTGCATGCACTCCTGATGTGCATCGTGGCCGAGCTGACTCGAGATCTGAAAACATGTTCGAAATGCAATCGATGAGTTTCTTCAGCTCCAAGCACATTAACCGATGTACCTGCATCAGTTGGCGACTGAAGTAAACAAACATGAAAACTTCTTGATGGAAAAATGAAACCTTATTGTATAATACTACTTAATAGAAGCTGAAGAAATGGAAATAACTGGAAAAATAGAAGTTTATGAATTCTGAAACCTATAAATAGAAGTTCTCCCATGAGAAGCTATGTTCTTTAATGGAAAATATTCAGTATTTCCCCTAATTCTTTACTGTGGTACAAAGAAACATGGTCCAGAAGCTGGATAAAGCAGTAAACATTTACCTTAATGGTGCGGTAAGATGGAAGATCAACACTCTCAGCAGCACCAAGTTCCATGTCATAACAGTGTCCTCACCCTACAGATTGACCAAAACAAATAGAGCCTTCAAATGGTTAAATCTGCGGAATACATCATTTACAGATTTGAAATACAGTTACATGAATACTTCCACCAATTATTTAATAATATTACAGAATCTGTTAAGTAAAATATAACTGAAAATAAACGAAACCAGAGGATTTTGCTGGGCCAAGTGAAATAATCAGTTCAACGGTATATATGCAAGCAAGCAGAAACAAACTGTTTGAGAAATTGAAAATCAAGGAAATAGCATCAATGATTTGCATGTTTCATGTCAGTCACTGCTTACAAGTTAAAACCTTGGCGTGGAAAACTGACCCGGTTACTCTACTGGCAAAAAACTCAACATCTGCTTCATTAAAGAACCAAGATAGAAACATGCAGATGAACAGTGTCAGACTAACAAAGGAAAGAGTAATCACAAAGAAACTAAAACTCAAGGCATGATGTTGCCGTGGAAGCGGTCTGTTTATATTTCATAATAAAAGAAATAAGAAAACCAGAATTTATGTTGGAAAACAGTCATTTTCATAAAAGCTCCAAATTTCCACAATAAAGAGTTAAAGACCTCCAAATAAGAGCGACCCACATAGAGAGAGAGAGAGAGGATCGTGTAATTATCTTTTGGCTGTTTAGATTGTTGAAGTCTGGTAAAATTTACTTTGTATTGTTTTTTTTTTTTTTTGAAATATTTGGGCACTGATAATGGTAAATTAACTGATAGTCAACGTTAGGCGCTGACGAACCACGTAGAAAGAGAAAGTTAACGTAGACGTTTAGGTCATCAAGATCGTTGATGTAATATTGCCACATCATTTTTTAAAAATTATTATTAATATTTTTATATTATTAATTCGCACTTGTATGAAATGAGACTCAAACCTGGGTCTCTTGAATGAATTACTCCTCGTTTTGCCATCAAATTATACTACTTGCTCAAATAATGAATGAAAATTTTATACTTAATAGATTATTCGGTCTGAATTTCATTAAAAAAAACAAAGGATAGACAATTACATCGAAAAATTATATTTTTCAACTTTAATTACCTGTCATATATCTTTTCATCTTTATTTACTGATCTAACACTCTGTGCAGAAAGACGCACCCCTGAAACATGCCTTACGTTGATTTGAAGCCATGTGGGGTAAGACATGCCTCCTGAAACGTGACTTGTTAAATGTGTAAAAAACCTAGATGTTAATTTTATAAATATTTTTTAAAATGGTACATAATATGTAATTAATTTATATGAGGATAATATTTGTATAAAAACGTCAACTTAATTTATTTATTTTTTGTGTGTAAAAAAATTTTCTAGATTAAAATCTTTAAATATTCTATTGCAAATTATTTTATAACTCGTCCAATTTTAATTTTTGCATGAAATTACACAACACGTATAATCTAGTATAGGAAAACTCTGAGGGTAAGTATTTTAAAATATGAATAATTTTATAAAAGTTTTATAACTAGTATTTCTTTTTCAAAATGATGATGATGATAATAAATATTTTATAATTTTTATATATTTTTAAAAAATTTATTGATTTTTAAAATTAATTGTTTAAAAATATAAAAATATAAAAATAAACTTTTAAATTTTTTAACAACAGTTAATAATATTTATTCATTTTTAATAAAATTAGAATTTAATATTTATTTTATATTTCTAAAATTAATATTATAAAGAATATTTTAAATAAAGAGGTGATATTTTTTAACTTTATATTCTTTTTTTATTAAATTTTATTCACTTTTAATTCTTTTTTTATTGTATTTTTATTGATTTTTTTAAAAATAGTGAATAATAATTCATTTGATATTTCAATTGTAATTAAAAGTTTATTTTAATATTTTTTACATTTTTAAACAATTAATATTAAAAGTCAATAAACATTATTAATCGTTGTTAAAAAATAATATCATAAAAAAAATAAAGTTGACGTTTTTACACAAATATCACCATAACAGAAATTAATTGTATTTTAGACATCATTTTAACATTATTTATAAAATTAACACCCGAATTTTTTATACATTTCATAAGGCGCGCCCTTACACCACGGTGTATGATGTACCTTTCTGTAAAGGGTGTTAGATTAGTAAATAAAGATGAAATGGTGTATAACAGGTAATTAAAGTTGAAAAAAGTGATTTTTGTAATTGCCCAAAGGATATGCATGACAAGGGTTGTATCTTCTCCATGGTTTTCAGAATCGGACCGGTCAACGAATCGGTCGTGTTATCGGTTCACTGGTTCAACCGGTTAGATCGGTCGGAAGAATCGGACGACTTCATAATTAATTAATTATTTTAAAAATTAAATAAAAATATAAAAATATTTAATAAAAAATATTTTTTTATATCACAAGTTATATTCAAAACAAGTTATAACATATATAAGTTAAAAATCATAAAATCAAGTGAAATAAAATGATTCAAATCAACTACAACATAATATTTAATGTAAAATATATTAAATAATAAATATAATTATATAACTATAATCAAAAAATAAATTTATGGCTAAAAAAATCATAACAAACGATGTCGTTTGGTTTAATTGTTTTTTAAAAAAATCTCACATGACTAAGAAACATAGAAGAACATCACAAAAGTCTAAAGAGTAAAAATATGAAAACAAAATAATCTCACATGATTAAGAAACATAGAAGAGCATCCCAACTGACTTCTATAAATAATAAAGGCAATTTGTCATTCAAAATCATGGAGCCTTTTGGTGAGCATAGAGCGAACTATTATTTCGCTTCAATCAAGCTTTAATTTCAGGATTCAATCGAGCTTTTAAATTTTTTTTAAGTTCGAGCCTTTTTGAGTTCAAATTTCAATATTATATTTTAAGTTCGAGTTGAACTTGATAATTTTTAGCTCGTGAGCTTTTGAGTCAAGTTGAGCTTACTTTTAAAGTTTTCGAGTTCGACTCGGCTCGTTTAACAAACGACATCGTTTTATTTAAATTTTTTTAGAAAAAAAAACAGAACCGATTTTCAACCGGTTCCCGGTCCGGTCCAGTTCGAACGGTTCACAGCCGGTTCAACAGTTCCTTCCGATTCACTAGTAACAGTTTAACCGGTGTAGAATAAACCTGACCAAACAGCGATTCCCGGTTGAACCGGCCGGTCAGGTCCGATTTTCAAAACACTGAAATTCTCTGCCGCTAACCAAATGATTTCCTCTGCCGCTAACCAGGCTACCGCCCTCCGTCCACCAGATCCTGGAATTATTCAGGATCTGGAAATGGCGACAAAAGAACAAGAAAGAAGCACCCCGTCCTATGCCTCTATTATGTCCGGGAAAGCAGTCAATGGCTCCCCCTCGAGGTAAACCAAGTAGACGATGAGGATGATATTGATCTTACCGACGAGGATTTTGTAACCAGTGTACAGAATGGCATCCCGGCTATCTGGTTTTCTGAGAGAGCCTATCGTCTTATGGAGGCTAGTATGGAAAGAACTGTCGTTCTAAAACTACTAGGCAAAAATATTGGTTTGAATGCTCTTTCGAACAAGACATTCACGCTTTGGAAACCATCCCAACCTTTCAACCTTATGGACTTGGAAAACGGATATTTACTCGCCAAGTTTCAGAATGACGAAGATTACGAGAAGGTCCTTGGATCATATATGGACAGTATCTGACTGTATAACCATGGTCAAGAAGCTTTAGCACGTCTGAAGCGTATCCGACTACTGTTATGGCGTGGATTCATTTTTCAGCTTTGCCCGAATACATGTTTTAAAAAGAGAATTTTAACCAATATTGGAAATCTTGTTGGCAGGGTCACTAAACTGGACCTATGAAAGGATACGTGCAACCGGCGTCGTTTTGCTAGAGTTGTTGTCTTTATTGATCTTAATCAACCTCTCGTCACGCGGATCATGGCGTGGATTCCTCTTATTTGTTTCTCGTGCGGCCGTTTTGAACATCTTCAAGAGGCATGCACATTCATTAAAAAATCCACGATGCATGGATCTGAAACGGTGATGTCTGGGGATATTCACAAGCCCGAAACTGCCGTGAACACTGAAGTAACAGCCAGCAGCATATCGATCAGCGGAGCCGATGAGAACCCTCAACGTGAGAACAACCCGTATGGTCCCTGGATAACGGTTGAAAGGCGACGCCGGCGTACCCAAGGCGGTGGCGGTAACGGTAAGAAAGGCTCTCCTAAGGAATCCAAATCACATGGTTCCAGATTTGCCGCGCTTGATGAGAATACTAATGGAAAGGATATGGCCGCGCTCGATGAGAATGATAATGACAAGGATATGGCTACCCCAAATCATGGGGATACTATCACCAATGAAAAGGTAGTTTCCTTACCTCACGAGAATGTCATATTAGAGTCAATTAAATATAACATATTTCATTCATTACTCAAACAAATAACTAGTTTGTTGGCAAAATGAGGAGCAATTCACCCGAGAGATCTAGGTTTGAGTCCCTTTTTATGCATTTCACCATTTTTGTTATACACTCGGTGTTGATCGTCAGTTGATTGAAGGTTTTCATTTAACGTGGATTATTTTTGACTTATAAAATAAACGTTCAGTGGCCAAATGTTCTAAAAAATAATACAGGTAAATTTGACACTATTGTCAAATATTAGAGTTATTTTATTATATTATGTACTAAGTTGTTTGACATGAAAAAAAATATCTAAGCATGACTTATAAATCTATACTGAAAATTTTATGTTAACATTAAGTTAAAAAATATATGTAGATATAATTAAACGCATTCAATGCCAGTTCCCGACGGTTATTAGAATAGTTTATTAAATTTCGGCGAATTTTTTAATAAATCACCCTTACAAATCTTTATTTTCCTGTCAAACATCCTTCTATCTTTATTTTTTGATTTAACACCTTTTGTAAAAAGACACGGCCATGCACCGCGCCTTACGCCACGTGTTGAAAAGCGTTGCTCACGTACCACGCCTTACGTAACGTGTAAAAAATTAGTGCTAGTTTCATAAATACTTTTAAAA